GAAGTTGAGGGGAAAAAGGGAAAAGTTAAAAATAAAGGGAAAAAATAAAGAGGGAAAATAAAGTTTTTTAAAAAAAGGAAAAAAGAAAATGATGAAAAAGAGCTTGGGAGGAGAAAAGCTGTCAGAGCCATCAGACATCCAGCTTGTGGGAAAGGGTCTTGCCAGGCTAGAGACCTTCACCTGCCACCAGCCTGGCTGTCTGCCTCTCTGACAGTGGTCCCAGCACCCAGCACCCACCCTGGCTCTGTGGGTGCTCTGCACCCCTTAGGAGGGGAGACCAGGGCTCCGCTCCCCCCGCAGGCAGGCACCTCTTCAGTCCCCTCCCAGCTGGCAAACGCCATCTCTAGCTCCACCTATTTGCATCTGTATGGGGATTTTTTTTCCCCTCTCCGTAAGGAAACGTCCCCTCACGCTGTGCTCCCTGGCGGCTGCAGGATCCGGCCCCAGCCCAGTGCTCACCCGTGGGACCCAGCCCAGGGGATGCTCCCAGCAGCGCTGCCCACCGCGACATTTGCATGGCCAAAAACCACCAAGAGGGTTTTTCAGCTCTCTTTAATGGGCCACTGGCCCCTGCCATCACTCAAGTCTCAGCTGGGTTTTTTTAGACACCCGCTCTAGCAGCGAGGCTGTCTGGTGCGCTGGGGCTCTGGCAAGGCCAAAGCAAGACGCAGAATAAGCCACCAAGCCCTGAGCAAACCTGTCCCCCTGTTCCCCTCCAACTCTGCCTTCCAGCTCATCCCTGCTGTCATCCCACATCAGGTTGAGTCCTGGCTGGAGAGAACATTGTGCATTTCCCCTACGGTCCTCGGGGAAGGGGGAAACTGAGGCAAGGGATGACGATGCCCTTTCCCGCAGTGTGCTGCCCACCGGCGCTAACAGACGTGATCTAATCCATGGCACAGAGGTTACTTCTCCTGCTCGACTCTCCACCTCCCCCGGAGGCTGCTCACCCTTTTAGGTGTCTGGCTGGAGGGGGAAACGCTGACTTTCAGCCCAGAGTTACATCTGGGGGAGTGGGGGAGCTGGGAAACGTGAGCTGCTGGGGCAGCGGGGCGCGAGATGGATGCCGCTCTGCAGGGACGCGCTGCGGTCCCCAGAGCCCCTGGGATGGGAGAGGAGCCCCTGCCCATTCCCTGCCCTGCATTACGTGCAACTATTTTGCAGGCAGGTAAACTGAGGCACGTCATGACATATCCCCCCGTGCATGCCACGTGTGGCCACGTCCACACGTCCCTGCCCCTCGACAGCACCAGAGATGTTCGTCTTGGCCAAACTCCATCGCCGTGGCCTGGATATGGAGCACGGGACCACCTTCCCCCAGGTTGGGCAGGGCGAGCAGCACTCCCGGGGGCCCGTCTGCACTGCTGGGTCTCTGCGGAGCAGCTGGAGGCAGACAGGGAGCATGGGAATCCCAAAGTGCCCATTAGCACCGGCCTGCTGCCGGGAGGCCGTCGGGGAGGTGTGCAGCAGACGTAGCAGCGGTCCCTGCGCCAAAAGCTCGAGGCAGGGCAAGGAAAAAAAAAACCCATATATAAAGTTCTGGTTTGCAGCTCTTTGGAGAGCCGTCTCAGGGAGGGGAGGGAGCTCTGAAATGCGCCTTTGTGGAAGGTGAGAAAAGCTCGAGACAGTTTTGCATGTTAAGCTGCAATAGGATTATGGAGCAGAGCAAATTAAATCAATTCTGTAACGATTGGGGGGGAATT